TTTTTTTTTTTTTTTTTTTTTTTGAATAAAAAAATATATATAGATATATATATTCTATAGACTCTAGTGGAAGGAATGATGGGTTTGGGCAACAGCACATTGTGGGGGGTCTGACAAAAGAAAGAGGTTTGGTTGTAAAGTAAGGGAAACGTGGGTGGAAAAGGGGAAAGGCTGCAGAAGAAAAATAAATAAAAAAAGAGAGGTATGGGTGAAAATATAATAAACAAAGACAGAGAGAGAGAGTAAAAGAAAAGAAAGGTAAGATCTGTCAATACACCATATCTGTACAGCGAATGCTATCCCTGATGCCACTATTCCCGCATAGGCAACACTGAACAACTCTCCAGCAGAGTGAACAAGCCAAGCTTGTGGGTCTTCGGATCAAGAGAGAGCGAGACACCATGGCAAAGACGAAGCTGTACAAAGCCGAAGAGTCTTCGGAAGAAGTTAAACCAGAGACAACAATTGAAGAAGATGAAGAAGAAGAAGAGAACATTCATGTGAAGAAGATCGAAACTTTCAGTGAACATCCCGACAAGATCGCCCCTCTCGTCGGTTACTTTCCTTCTGGATTCGATCCTCTCAAAGAAGAATCATCGACACAGGAGCAACCCAAGGTTAGGGTTTTCAGGCACGAGAATCGGACCAAGAGGTTGCAACTCGTCGTCAGCCCGAATGGGTCGCAAGTCAATTTCGTCGGTACGAACACGGCTCCTCAGCTTTGTAATTATGCTCTTGGGGTTCTTGATAAGGAGTCTCAGACACTGAAGATTGTCCCTATTGCCTCCAACAAGATATTTAGATTGGAACCAATAGTTGCAGGGTCAGATTCATATGAAAAAGAACCTTCTAAGGAAGAACTCAGGGCAGAAGAGAGGGCAGATAAAATTTGAGAGCTGAAACGCATGTATTCAACAGCGAAGTCAGTAGGACAAGAAAAGGCAACCCAGTGTCCAATTCTTTCCCCTAGCGTCTCCAAGCACAAGCATCACCGGCAAAGCCCTTTGCAGTGGCGGACTTGGACTGTAGATGGTCGGACCCTGGGTTTTATTGAAGGTGGTGGGCTCGAAGAAATTTCAAGGTATGTGTAGAAAATTCTAGCGGATTAGGTTGAGGTCCGGGTTGCCGCCCGCCGGTGACGCGAAAAAAAATACTAAACTCTTAACCTTGCTCTGATACCATGTAAAAAATATATGTATTATTGATTGATATATTGTTATTGTGTGTTTATTACAATTACAAGGATTCCTATTATATAGGAGTGTGTTTGGGAGTAGGTGGAGAGTAGGTGAAGTGGAGGTGGTAGTGGTGTAGTGGGTTAGGTTTAGTGGAGTAGGTGAGGTGGTAGTGGTGGTAGGTTTATGGTAAATTCTAACATTATATAATATCTCTAGGCACCCCATCGTAAGCTTTTGTTAAATCTATAAAAATCATATGTAGATCCCTCATCCCACACTTTCTATTAGTAATTCTCTATTAATCTTCTTAGTAAATATATCGCTTCCATAGTTGATCCATTTGACATAAATCCAAAATAATTCACTGACACTGTTGAGCTATGCTCAATCACTCTGTCCCTCACTTTCATTGTATCAATCAGCCTCCGTTTGGGAAGTGGGTTGGCTTTTTAGCTTTTTAGCTTTTTGGCTATTTTAGCCTGGGCTATTTTAGCCTGGTTTGGGAAGAACTTTTTGGCTTTTTAGCTTTTTTGACTTTTTTTGTGAGAAAGGATTGTAATGATTATGGGTTGGATTTGATGTTTTGTTTTTGTGGCTAAAATAGCCTATTTTGTTTTTTGTAGCTATTTTAGCCAAAAAAACCTGGCTTTTTTCTTCCCAAACGGAGCCTAAATATAGTTGTTGCAATTTTGAGTATCTCCATTATTTTTATAAATGAAGTAGTAAAATACTTTTTCTCCACTCATCTAACATTTTTCTAGTCATTAGAATCTTATTAAAGAATTTTTTCAATCAAAACAAACTCCTCCTTATCTAAACATTTCCAAGCCTCAATAGGGATACAATCCAATCCTAATATCTTGCTTGATTTCATCTTCTTCAGTGCAAATTCCACCTCAAAATCCCTTAGTCAACGATAAACCTATATTCTCTAGTTTCATCTTCGCTATCATATTCATATCTTAAGTTTTTAAATGTTTTTCATTTACCATTAAAGAAACATGAACCTTTTTTAAGGTAAACATTTTACAAGCCCTATACCTAGACTCACATCTTTTATGAATACAAAGCACTAATTCGGAATCCCGATGAATACAAAGTACGATTAAATCGTTGCGTAAATTAACGGTTCTGTAGAGTTATTATTATTTATTTATTTATTTATTTTCAGTGAATGCCTTTTAAAAATTGATCATATTGTAATAGGGAGACCCTTGCCGCAATAGTAAGGTTGTTTTATTATGCTGATAATAATGCTTGTGGTTATATGGACATTGTTTCGATATATGTATATTGTTCATATTTTAATATTTACTGTTTCAGTCGTCCCAGCACGTACACTAGCTAGCAGCAATTATGATTACGAATTTTGAAACTCAACACTTTGCTTGGTTACAGTTTTCCAAAAACATTTTTTAGAAAATTCTACTTTCTTATTTTCCGTATTTTTTATTTTTACTGAATTTTTTTAATATTTTAAGCAATTTTTTTTACTTTTTAGACATATCTAACATAAATATATCTAAAAAGTAAAAAATTTGTGAAAAAAATCTTTTAAAAATTCACTATAAAAAAAAAACGAGAATTCAGTATATTTTTTGTATTTTTATGTATTTATTAATTTTTTTAAATATTTTTTCACAATTTTTTTACTTTTTAGATACATCTAAGTAAGGTGCATCTAAAAAAATCAAAAAAAATATTTAAAATTTTAAAAATATTCACTAAAAACAAAAAAACACAAAAATCAAAAAACTCAGTTTTCAAAAAATTTAATCCAAAAAACTCAAGCCAAACACACTGAAAGTCATTTTCTAATTGTTAATTTCCACAAAACTCATCATACAAGAGCCCTGATCACAGTGTTCACATAAGTCATGTTCACTTTATTATTTTGCCAACTCCCACATACGGAAACCAACAACACACACACGCACACAAAAGAGGGGGAAAAGCATTAATATCATTGGAAAACTACAGTAAACCATGAACCACCTTAAAAAACATTAAAGCCACAACAAGTTGCATCAAGGAAGCACCACTTTAAAGTCAATCATAAAGCACGACAACACAAACCTTGTCCATTTGCTTTGCTCAACAGGACTCCAGCCTCTAGGTTTCGGAATGGTACAAGGCCCTACAGTTGCCTGCAATCAATCATATCCCATCACAAATTGAACCATCATGATTAGCTGCGCCAAATGCAATACCATCAAAACAACTTAGCCAAACCCTAATCAAACAACATTCTCACAATTTAAATGCCCAAGAAACCGTTTTATGTTTTCTATTCTTGAAAAATAAAATTAATAATAATAACAATAACAATAATAAACTGATAATGGATAAAAAAAAACACCAAATTTTTAGAGATACTTTCAAATTTCTCTTTGCACAAAAAATAAGATGATAGGAGTTTCCGAACATTTCATCATTTTTTTTTTTTTTGGCACCAAGGTATCCGGATCAAAACTTGACTAATTCTCACGGGTACACAGGCCTCCGGCAAGGAGTTTCTCACAAGTGTTTTTTCTCAGATCGATAGCACAATGAATTGTGAGCACCTAAGAGGTTTCGATCCTAAAACCTTAAGAGAGAGCACACCCCAAGACCCAAGCCCTTGTCACTAAGTCAACCCCTTGGGTTTTTCAACATTTCATCATTTTGGTTTCCAAAAACGCAAAAAATTGAAAATGAAAACAATTTGAAAACGGTACCAAACAGTGTCTACGATTCCACATCAATCTTATATTCATTCAATACCATATCCTAATTGAATGACATACAAATACAACTTCCAACCAACTCGCACCGCAATTTCAATCTCCACTATACATTTTCATAATTGATGACGAATTGTCTAAAAAAGAACAAATCTTTAACCATACAACACATAATTGAGTAATTCCAATTTCCCATATCAACCTTAAAATACTGAAAGCTCAAAAAATTCGAATAATTTCCTTCATATTCTGGAAAACCAAACATAACAAGAGATCAACAAGCACAGATCTATGAAAAGTAAAAGTAAAATGATAGGAATAGAAATACCTGGTGGTAGAGGGCGTAGAGGAGCAAAGCAACGTCGTTGGAGAAGTTGGAGGAGGAAGAGTGAGGAGGAGATCCATCGAAGCCAGCGTAGGAGGCAGCGGCGTAGAACCTCTCAGGGTAAGCGAGGCCAGAGCTCGCCATTGCCATCGCCATTTTTGGGGTTTGGAGATCAGATCGAATGGGAATAAGAATATATATATATTTAAATAAAGTACAGGAATGAAGAGAAACGGAGAGAATTGAATTGAATTGAATTCGGGGGAGTGAGTGAATGTGAATATGTGTTTGCTGTTACTGTAGGTTCGTTCTCCCTTGATGAACACCCGACCCGATCGATCTTTTGCAGCCTATTTGCTCGACCAGCGCTGGCCTGTTCGGTCTCTTTTTTTTTTTTTTCTGCTAAAATAATTATAAACAAATTTAAGTCAAAAAAATCAATTATAAGAGTTTTTTTAATTTTAAATATCAATAACTCTCAAAATATAATTTGGTTAATTGTGTACTTCTCTCCTTTTTTTTTTATGAATTTAAAAATCTCATTAAATTAGAAATTACACATTTAGGTTCAATTTTTAAAGAATAAAAATGAATTTATTTAAATGTAAAATTACATATTTGAACACTTCATGCTATAGAGGTTCTAATTTTTCCTTCTTTCTTGAATAAACCCCACATTACAAATAAGAACGTATCAATTCAATAACTTAACACTCCAATATAACATACTAAAAAATACCCTGCTTGGGAGTTTTTGTACTCCTTTTGAAATGTTTAAAGAATTCCACATCCTTTTGAAATGTTTGAAAAATATCATATTTCAAGTCATTTTTGTATTCATTTTGAAATGTTTGAGAAATCTCACATTTTAAGTTATTCCAAATAAAAAAGATTCTCATATAAAAATTCATTCAAAATTTAATTCTTACAGGTTATGTATCTTACATTTCTAGCAAAAAAAAAAAAAAAAAAAAAAAAAAGAAGAAGAAAAAGGAGAATGAGGCAACATAATAGCAATAAGGGTGAAGTACCAATAAGTCCCAAAATGTGATATTGTGAACTGTTTAGTCCTCTATTTTTTTCTTATGAAGCCAAATGTCCCATTAAAGTGAAAATTAAATAAAATGATAATAACTTACATGTTTAGGTTTCATTTTTTAGGACATGTTTGATTGATAAGATTAGAGCACAGGATTGAAATTATTAATCCGTGGACCCAATAAACCTGTGTTTGTTTTGAAATTTTATTTCAGGATTATTAATCCAATTGATAATTAATCCAACAAATTTTTAAGATTATTAGTAATGGGGTAGGGGTGAGATTATATATCTTGAACTGTGGAATAAAATAAAAAGACTCTCTTACCCTTAACTAAAAATTAAAATACTTATTATTTTTATATAATTTTATATTTTAGAAGGTTAAAATTTTAAAAATAATTTTTTATATTTAAAAAAACAAACATGACCTTTGTATTTTTATTTTGCTTTTATTTATTTATTTATAATTTTTATCAAAACCACGTTTATGAAGAAATTTTGATAAAACAAAGATTGCGAAGAAACATTAATGGAGGATAAGATTAGAAAAAAAAGATAAATAATCCTACATTTATATGTTTTCTTATCCAATGTAAATCAAATAATGGACAAGGAGATAATTTATCTTACTAATCCAATTGGATAGTAAATACCATACTAATTTGATGGGATTATTAATATCTTCACTATTAATCTTGTGAATCAAACATGGCCTTAGGGATAAAAGTGAGTTTCTCAAAATGTAAAATTACACTATACTATAGAAATTTTGAATTTTTCCTCATTATAGAACAAATCCCACATTCTGAATACAAATTTAACACTCTAATGTAACACTCAAATAATGTAACACTTCAATGTAATACACAAAAAAATTCATTGGTGTACTTTTCCCAAACGTAATAACTTAACATTAAAAAAAAAATTCATTAGTGTATTTTTTTCCAAACGTAATACTTCAATATAACATACTCTAATATAACACACAAAAACACTAAAAAAAAAATTGTAGTGTATTTTTTCCAAATGTAACACTCACAGTTTGAAATTATATATTTATCCAAAACTTACTAAGGAATATTTATACTCTTTTTGGAATGATTTGAAAAATCTCACATTATTTTTTGTTTAATGTATTGGAGTGTTACGTTTAGAAAAAAATACACTAAGAAGTTTTTTTTTTTTTTTTGTTACATTAGAGCGTTACATTTGGGAAAAGTATATCAATTTTTTATTTTTATTTTTTATGCGTGTGTGTTACACTAAGGAATTTTTTTTAAATGTTATATTGAAGTGTTACATTTGGAAAAAAGATACTAAGAAATTTTTTTTTGTGTTATATTAGAATGTTATACTAAGGAATTTTTGTGTGTTAACTACAAGAAAAGTAGGCTTATGAGACGGAACTTTTTGCGAAGGCACATTTACCGTCACAAAAAGTCATTTTTTTGTGACGGCACAACTTGCTGGACGGCCCGCCCAAACTTAATTTCCCCCCTTTTTTTTCCCTCTGCCTTTCCCCCTCTTTTTTTCATTTCCTTTCAGGTTTGTAGAGCCCTTAATTTCACAACACTGTTTCAAAACAGTGAGCAAACCTTAATCTGAGAGAGAGAAGATAGAGGGTTTGAAGAGAGACTGGGGTTGAAGGGGAAGGGTTTCAATCGGCAGCGAGACTGGTTCAACAGCGGCGAGACGGTACGCTTCTTTTGACTCTTCTTTCGACTCTCTCATTCCAGTCGGTTCCTCTATCGATTGGGTTGAAATGGTTCCTCTATATCTCTATGTTGCCCCCACCGCCATAGCCATAGCAGCTTATTAGTGGTGGTGGTTGTTTTCTGCAAGCATCGGTAATGTCGCAGAAGCGGCAACAAGAGGACTCCAAGGGTCGTTCGCCATAGCCATACATACTCCAGCCTTCACTTTATAATAGTATAGATGATTTTGCCTTAGAAGATACATTGTTTAAACTGATAGTTGGCAGGGCACTATTCCTATAATTGACAACACAAGTGTTTTCTTGGATATGGAGCTACTTTAAGAGTTATCACAGATTGTTTTGGTTGATGCAGAAGAATTGCAACTGGTATGATCACTTATTCCCATTTATTCATTGATTTGTCTAGTTGCGCTGAAACCATCTAATACATCTCTGCTCACAATTTTCTTAAGTAAGATGTAATAGCAATGTGTACTCAGTGTATGATTCCTTAACTTGATGGTTTTCCTAGAGTAGACATGTGCTTTGCCTCAAACTATATGTGGTTACTTTGCTGATGGTACTGGTTTACTTTTTGAGGAAAATGGTATTACATTTTTAATTCAAATTTGTTTCAGTACCTGATCTTTTTTTCTAATGTAGAGGTTTTTAAATTTTGGTTTTTGGAAAGTTTTATATGCTTCCTAGCTGAATATGATGTAATATTTTTGTAACTTGCTAATTTGTTTGGCTAGAATTGCAAAAAAGGGGAAAAGAAATCTAAGATAAATATTGTTTGCACTGCACTTTTTGATACATTACAATTACATGCTGATCATGAGATGTCAAAGGTAGTTGGGTGAGAGGTCACAGCTGAATAAGCCTTGATACATTGCAAAAAATGGGAAAAGAAATTTAAGGTAACTATTGTTTGTACTGCATTTTTTGATAAATTACAATTACATCCTGATCATGAGATGTCAAAGATAGTTGGGTGAGAGGTCACAGCTAAATAAGCCTTGATATAGCAGAATCAGAATACAACATAATAATAATTATTATTAATTTTTTTTGTTTTTGTTTTTGATAATGTTACAGCAAAATTTTAGGGGAGAGACCTAATCCCTCTGAGTAGGATTCACCTTGAAGTTTATTAAAATATCATTCTGTGTGCATAGCTAAATATTTGAATTACATGTATTTTGTGTGCACATATGTTACCCAAGTTATTCCTTGCTATGTTTTAGTTCTTCTAGTTTTTGATGATATGCATCTTGGTTTGTTCTCTTTTCTGTTATTGCAGGCTTTGTCCAATTTGTTCGTCCTTTTGGAACCAACCTTGAATTTTTCATTGAGCTTCTCATCAAGACCTCCGACTGACTTTTTACCTCATCAAAAAATTTTATGGACACTGGATGCATGGACATCAGTTAGTGCAGGTCTGTTGAATACTTTTTTAATTGTAGGCGTATATAGTATTTTTTTTAAATTCTAAATTGCTTACTCCACTTGTGTCACAGGAAATGCAAAAATTGCTAGTTTTTTGCTTGAGATGTGGTTTAGTTGGCACTCTTTTTTGTGGATCATTCAGCCTGTTTTGCTCAAGGTATATATATATATATCACAATGTAGCAAATTTTAGTTGTTCATAACTTTGAAATTTGTTACCAGACTCCCTGTTGGTTGTCTTTGTATTCATCTTGCAGAACTTTTCAAGGATGGATGATTTTGAAATGAAACTACCTCATATGTTTTTCCAGCCTGTGAGAATGGCAACTGTTGACCACATTCTGTAAGATAATTGGTTTTAGATGTTCATTGTTGGTTCTTTTTTTCATGCTTTAATCTACTTATTTTTTATTTTATTCTTTTATTTTTGTTTATTTGAAAGAAGATCCAGTGGTTAACTGTTTGATGTTTGGTTGGTTTTTTTATCAAGGTTGAATATATTTTGTGACTGATAAATTCAACCTAGTAAATGGGAACTTATAAGCCATCCTTATTTGTGGATTATGGTTTATTGTCTAATGGTTTTTGTCATATTGAATTATTTGCACTTTGTGAAAGTGCTCATTTTGTGTCCTCTTAAATGGCTGTTATGTTTTGTCACCATGAAATTTTAAAGAACAGAAGTTTGATTATTTAATTGAGATGTTTGTCATGATGTGGTGTTGATGATATGTTGCTTGCTCTTGTGGATAACTTATTAAACAGTGAAACTAGTAGACAATGTTTTCTCTAGTCATATATATTTTCTTGTTATTGAATTTTGTGCAAGGATTTTCTGTTGATTCAGTGTCGAACTTCTTTTGTTCTCATTTCTCTTCCATCTTTAAAATCAGGCAAAGTACATCTGCTATCAAGGATTATCCCGTGCACTGCTTAAAAATTAGAGTTGCTTCAGGTAATTTGTGGCAAAGTTGTCCACCTGTTACAAATGTACAAGCTTTTCTTTTATCTGTGGCTCGGTCTCTCTTCCAATAGGTAGCTTTCCTTCTTCAGTCAGATATATCGTCATTGGTGTGAATAGAAATATCAAATTTCATTCTCATAATGTTCTTCTGCTTCCAGATTATATATGCTCACAGAAAATCATTTGAAGCTGATCAGTATGCTACGATTAAGTCTATTCTTTGTTCCTTTCAGAAAAATATGATAACGGTATGCAAGTATTTTCAAGTCTTTCAAAGTCAGTAAAAATTATACAATATGTGAAATGCCTACAATAAGATCTTGCAGCATACCTATGGATGTTTGTTTACTGCATTTACTTTTCTATCCTAGACAAATATTGTAAGACACTTGCACGTATTTGTAATGAATATAACATATTTTATAGAGTTTATTAGTCTCTAGTTTGAATGATTGGTAAAATATAAACATCTTTGTAATTATATAGTAGTTAATTTTTATGTTTTTTTGTAAATAAAATATTAACGCAATTATATTGTCATTAATTATTTTTATTTTGTTATTTTCAGATATTTTCGGAATAGCAGTTTGCTTCTTGTGGAATGCAGGCGTGTAAAGATTATGACTAACTTTTGTTTTTGTAATCCACAAAAGAAGCATAATGAAAACTTTTGTTTTTGATTTATGTTATTTAGATTTGTGAACAACATTATGTATGTATTATGCAACATTATGTACTGGGATAATTTTGCTGATGTATTGTTATAAATGAAAGGATATTTTAATTATAGATGAATTTTTATTTATATGCTGGACTTTTTATATTATTATGTAATTATTGGTTTTTTTTTTAGTTATTTTTCATTTAATATAGGTTATTTTCATATTTTTAATAATTTGATTACAGTTTTTTTTTTTTTTAGACGGCAGTCCGCTCACCGTCTCAAATAGGGGTATTTTGTGACGGCAGTAATGCTGTTGCAAAAGATAGGGCAATTGGTTGAAAATGAGGACTTTTAGCGACGGTATAATTTGCCGTCGCCAATAGTACTTTAGCGACAACACAAATGCTGTCTCAAATAATCCTTTAGCGATGGTACTTGTGCCGTCGCAAATACCCATTTTAGCGATGGCAAAACAGTGGCGTCTCAAAAAAATTTAGATTTTCACGCGTTAATGGCGACGGCATTTTTCCGTCGCAAAAAGGCTTCTTTGCTATCGCAAACCAAGGGCGACGGCGTCATACCGTCGCTAAAGCCTTTTTGCAACCCCCTCTGTTGCGACCCCCCACTTGCCGTCGCAAAAGGCCACTTACCGTCGCAAAAAACCTTTTGAGACGGCGTTTTGAGTATTTGCGACGGCATTTTACCGTCGCAAAAAATCAATTTTTTTGTAGTGCTTGATCACATATTCCAACCATTCGAATTTTAAGAGTGAGTGTATTTTGATATTTTTAAACGGTTGACCAGTTATCTTAATTTTTTTGGAGGTTTTATTTACACATCATAAATTCTCTCAATACCCACTGTTTAATAATTAAATTTTTATGACAATAATAGATTCAAATAAAATGACTATTAAGAATAACATGGATGTATATGTATTCATTCAAGTAATTCACATATGGAAAACACAAACTTCTCTTTACACACTATCACATGTACACTTGTAACCAAACATGCTTTTGGAAATTTTCTTCCAAAAACATGTTTCAAAACACAAACCAAACGCACCCTATATCTTTTGAAACAAATCTCCCTTCCAACACTCATCCAACACTATTCTTCTTCACCATTATAATCTAACATACTACACTCATCATCTTTGCTATTATAATCTTCACCATTATTTTTCAAACTCAAAACATTATTGCCTTTAAAGATTTAGGGTTTTAAGAACATTGAAATTAATTGATTTTGAAAATTGACACACCGTGGATGATACTCAAATTAATGATTTGGAACAATACAACAATGAAAATGTCAATTTACTTTTTTGTTTATCTCATTCGTATAGAAGATGACTTGTTCATTCGTAACGTATTCAGAGAATCAGAATTGAACATTTATAAAAATGTTCAATTATTTATATTTGAACATTTATTAAGGTTAAGTATTCATACATAAAAAATTGGACATTTTGGTTGTGGTATGTATCAGTTTATTAGCTTAGGCTTAAAAGGGAAAGTTACGGTGTAAACTGAGATATTTTCACAATCTAAAAATTATTATGTATGTCTACTAAGTAATGGTGTGTACTGAGATGATCGAGGGTGTGTAAATAAAATTATCCTAATTTTTTATGTATTTATAGTTGAGGGATGTTTGACTATCTTCTATATCTGATAATTTTCAGATCATAATAAAAACTACTACAACCGTGAACGTAACCCGAGTTTCATGATGCACCACATAAATCATTGTGTTTTATCCTATGTGTACACTTGTTTTTTTGTTTCTTATTCTTGTTCCTACTTGTGTTTCCCGTTTCATTGATTCTGGTTAAGTATTCCTAACATGGGCAATTTTTTATCTCAACTTTCTATCTCATTCTTCCTATGTTGCCACGTCGTCATTATTGAGGCTATGTTTGACATGTAATTTTAGGACTATTTTAATCACAAAAATACAAAATAGACCAAAAATTAATAAAATAAAATACTACATCCAAACCATAATTATTTCATTTTTTTTCTCACAAAAGTCAGAAAAATCAAAAAATCCATCACAAACGAGACTTTTTAGGCCCAAGATAAAATAATTAAAAAGCTAAAAAGCCAACTCACATCCGATTAATTTTTGACACTCTATAATGTTCTATGTATTTTGTCAACTTTGGCTTGCTACTACTATTATCGTGTCAAATTTGTCAGATAGAAGGATCGGATTAAATTTAAACATGATTAATGCTAAACTATTGACTTATTTAAATTTATTATATTATTCTAAATATATATATGTGGGGGGACAAAAACAATACATGTAAAGCGGACCCAAATAAGAATTTAAAAATTAAAAATAATTTGTAATGCGACTTGCCAAGTAATTTTTTTTTACATAAGTTTAATAAAATTTATAATTTTAAAATGAAATAGTTTTTTTTTTTTTAATATGAACTGTCATATGAAAATAATTTTAATTCAAAATAAAGTTTGAAGGCATTTTATTAGAAAATATTAACCACGACATTTTATCTAATTTATTTAATGTATACTTGAATTAAGCTAATGACTTTAAAAAGAAAATATTTCCAGTGGACAGAATAATCTGGATTGTAGTGTTCTTTATAAATGAAGAATATTAAAATACAGTCACTAATTGTTTCTCAACTACTTAATAAAAATAAATGAATAAATTTATTTTATTTGTAAAAGATTTCATTATGTTATTGATTGAAAACACTACTTAAATACTACATGATAGTTCATAATTATTTAAGCCTTGTTTAGGTAAAAATAAAAGGAAGTAAGTTTGTTTGAGATGACTTTTTTTATTTATATATATAAAAAAAAACAATATGAAGTTTTTACCCACCCAAAAAAAACAATATGAAGTTTTATGATTTTATATTCAATGTGACAAGACAAAGTGAAAAATTAAAAAATCTAAAAAAATGTTCAGAAATGACAAAAAATAAACTAAAAATATAAAACTTTTGTTTGCTTATTTAGGGTTTTTCAATATTTTTTTTTTGTTTTGAAAATTTTCAATTTTGTTTTACTTTTTAAATTCGTTTACACAAGAAGAATCGAATAAATAAATAAAAAATTTAAAAATTGACTGCTCGACAATTTTTTTTTTTTTTTGGTTAACGAATAAACTCTTCAAACCTATCTTTCGCTGATTTTGGAATCAACTACCTAATGTCGGTTTAACCGGAGTAGGACAAAAGGCAAACCTCAGGTGTGTACACTGACTCTACAATGCACACACCATTTAAGTTAGAGAGTGCAACTGCTAAGATTCGACCCCACACCCAAATCCTAGATACAGTTCGTCCAGCACTTAGAGGGTCATTCTAAGACCACTGCACCAAACCCCTAGAAGTTGGCCTTGAGAAGTTTAGAACCTGAAATCTCAAGACTTACTAAAGTGCCACAACTCCTTAGATTAACTTCTCGACATTTCGACTTTTCTGTATATTAATAAAAATAAATCTTCCTAGAGAAGTAATGACTTATCCAATCCAACACTTGGAATGAGATCGGTGTCTTGACTTCGTGCATCTTACTCACACGCTTTCAGTCAAATTTGTGTGCTTCTGAGCTTCTTCTACAAGACTTGGGGGTTAGGAGTAGCCCAGTAGCTCTACAACTGAATAGAATCGTTCGTGAATAAACTCAAGTTTAATTTGATAAGGGTTCGTTTAAAGTCAATTCGTTAAATTTTTATTACATTTGAATTCAAGCTTAAATTCATTAAAATCGTAATAAACAAATCTAAACATACTACAATAATTAAAAAATTTATACTTTACCAAAATTTAAAAATAATAATTTCAACCCTTGCACTGACATGAAATTTTCCCTTGAAAATTAATTCAAATTTATAATAGCTTATTAAACATTTCATTAAATAAAATTTAACAAGATGCCACTGATTGCTCTTGGGGGAATACTGACTTCGTCCCTACGTAGAGGTGGCGTAACCATTAGGTAATTTAGCCTATTACCTAAAGAGTATAAAAAAAATAAAAAATAAAATTTATTGCTAAAGGTCACAATTTTAAAAGCCTAGCGATAAAACCTCATTTTGATATTTGACATAATATTTTCAAAAATTTTGGTTTGTTTAGTATATTTTTATATTTATTGATTTCATTTTTAAATTTGTCCATAAATATATTTTTGTTTTTTTGATATATCTAAGTTAGGTGTATTTAAAAAATAAAAAATATCTAAAATATTAAAAAAAATACAAAATAAGATGGCAACACCTCATTTTGGGTAACCATTAGGTAATTTAGCTTGTTACCTAAAGAGTATAAAAAAAAATTTATTGCTTTTAAAAGCCTAGTGATAAACCTCATTTTGATATTCAACATAATATTTTCAAAAATTTCGATTTGCTTAG